GCTCTGATGTCATAGACCTTTTCCATTTGGCACGATCTTCTCGAAGAGCAGGGAGCGCATCAGAGTCTCGGACATAAGGGATTGGCGTTCATTCCTTTGTCTTGACTGAAGCAGGCCTCTTGCGGACGGAGCACAGCTCGAGCCCAGGGAAGTGGTTGAACTTGGGCGCCATGAGCAGACTTCTACCTGATAATGACATATACCAAGAAAGCCTGCAGATGTAACAATGCAATGCTAGAACACAAAGTAATTGACAGCAACTGCAGATGTAACAATGCCAAAGCCGAAGTGATCACTCAGCATGTCCAAATCCAAAGTGAGTACTCCGCATTTAAAAACAGGAGTGGAGTGCTCAGAAGACACGGAAAGCTGCAGGAGCAAAGCAAGCGTATGTTGTGGACCCCTACCATATATGTAAATGTTCAGAAACACATGTCTAATGCCCAAATTGTACAAAGGCAGCGCCACCTACTCAGAAAGCAAGCCCCTTTGAAATGCAGCCTCCTCATCAGCATCCATGTCGTTCTGCGAAGCTGTTCCGGGAAGGGGGCGCACAATACATGGGTGGAGGAAGGACCTGAGAGCTTTCATCCTGAGTTTCTTGGGAAGAGGGTAGCCATGTTTCAGGCACGTTGCTGGCACGAATGTTGAAGAGGCACTCCTGCAACTCCTCGTGGATGTCAAGCAAATACTGGCACGAATGTGGAGTAGCTGTAGCGCAGCGGTTCATACTGTCACCAATCATGCTTTGTGTTTGGACCACGGACTCATCTTAATGTTCTGGTTTGTCTAAGTTGGAGCCGCTCTTGTACATAGAAGAGCTTATCACCTTGAGTCAGGACATCTTCGTGCTTCTCGGGTCGCAAATTGGTCACCGTTTTGGCATCGAATCCACTCCGAGCGTGGCGGTCAAAACGAGGAGACCGACCGGTTGACCACCGAGTCTATGAACAGAATACCCGTCTGAGACATGGTCACCAGGGAAATTCGGGCTCCAGATTTGGACCCACGGCCAAAAGACTGCAACCCTGAGCCCCAAACCCTGGTAGGTTGACTTCACAGGTAGTCGATTGTGTTCATTCGCAATGGGAAAGACCAAAATCCCCAGGTGCGATGACCCACTGCCATATCCACTCAAAGTCTCCATGCCGTGTGCCCCCAACCTCCCCTTCGCCTGGGTCTCCCGGCTGCTGGCTGCCAGCTCCACCACCCGCTGAGCGGGCCGACTCGTCACCGTCGGCAAGGCCGCCTTCTCGACGGCGGCACCCGGATCGATGGCCCGAAACGAAGAAACCTGTTGTCCAAATGGGTTGTGTTTCTACGAAAAGTATGGAAAACGAAATGTATACATATAATTACATATATACTGTATGTTATATGGTTCATGAACCATTTGGAAGTATCTTCCAACCCGACGAAGTCTTAAAAAGCAACACGTCCTGTCACGTCACCGGTCATGTTTCGCCGTTCTTTTGGCTCGGACATGGTGTCTTTTCAACCAAAGAACGAGGCTGTTGAAAGAAGAAACCAAGACAAGTGAGGGATGGGGCAGTGATTGGCTATGTTGGCTGTGGCTTGAATTTGCTGGACTTGGGAGAAGGAAAACACACCTGCATCAGAACCCTTGGCTCAAATCCCAGCAACTATAGCAAAACCTCCAACAATCGCAGAGAAGCTGGCAAGAGCGTCCCTACAACGCGGCTCGCAGCATAAATGCCCGTGCTCTTTTCCGCTAGAAAACCTCTCACAAAACTCCAAGTGCTTGGAATTGAGGTGGCCAACTTGAAGGGCCAGCCTGCCGTACAAATCCAATTCTTTCACCTAACTGTTAACTTTTGACGACTCACCCTGATCAATGATTTGGTGTAAGCCTTGATCCATCAATTCAACATGTATGAATATGCCGTCGTGTCGGTCCAAAGTTGACGGCACATTCAATACCTCAGATTCGGTCCGGGGTGCTCTATGGGGCTTTCTATACCCTCAAAAGGACATTCCACAGAATAGAGATTCTGCAAACCTGGAGTTCATTCGTGTTGCGTTTTTCTGGATACATCCCACATGTCTTCTTCCCTTTGTTGTCCAATATTCCAACAGCTGCTCGGTCATGCCAGCATGTGTGTGTGTGTGACTGGTCTTAATGAGGGGCATCATCTTTTAAAATGCAGGCTGTGGTGTCAGGGCACCTCGAGCCCAGATTGAGCCCAGTCAGTTGACCTCCCTGGTCGTTCGTCGTCCCTGTTCACGTTCGCTAAAAAAAAAAACCACCGGTCAGTCTCACTTAGGATCTCCCGTCGAAAAACTCGCTCTGTGTTCTGTTTCCCCCTGCTTAATCGTTCGTAGTGATGATGTTTAGAAAGACCGAACTCCTGTGCGTGGGGAGGGTCACAGCCCTGGAGGTTCCCTGTCGTGTACTCCAATGCAGCCTCCAGTTTGCAGCTTCCAGGGTGCAGCCCCCAGCCTCTGGATCGATCGCATCAAGGGTCGGCACCTCTGTCTGGACTTCCACATGAAAAAGCCCACCTCAGACGTGAAACCGTGAAACAGACTGGGAAGTAGAGACTTAAGATGGTTCTGTTGGCACTGCCATTGGGACAGGGGATCATCTACGCACACAGATCAGGATCATCTATGCACGAACCCCTGTCCCTGCCATTGTATAACCAGTTTCTCACCTGTTTCAACCAAAATGGTCCCGCGCTGTTCCACCATCGCTGTTCCACCGTGTTCCACCTGCGCTGGACACCGGTCTAGGACACCGCACGGTCGGTCGGTCGCCTGTGGACGTGGACGCTTCCGTGCGTGCGGCCGCACGCTTCCGTCCATGTGCGTGGTGTGGTGCGTTTGGCGTTTGCGCTTTGGTGAAAAATGCCACAAGTGGAAGTGTAGCAACAGAATGGATGATTTGGTGAGTCTTCTTCTTGTAGTATAAGAATCTAATCCTTTTGTATTCTACAAACTGATGCATAATCCGGATGTAGGATTTCCACATCGTGGCATGTTTGCAGAGATCCGTGTTCCAGGTGCAAGAGGGCTTTTTGTGTCTTGCACAAACACGGAACCCCACCAAGAAACAGGGATCGTTCTTTCTCCAACTTCTTTCCGCAACACTGATAGATGCCAATCACTCGCGCGAAGAACCGTGGTCGTCAAGTTGGATTGGGAATAGCGTTTATTTTATGCTGACAGTTCCTTGTTTCATGCTGGGAGGAACTCCGGGGCACGACGCCGGGGACGTCGTACTCGTGTTCGACTCGACCCGGAGCGTCGTTCTTCGCATCTTCGCCTTCAAGATCCCAACATCCAAACCGAACAAAAGAAAGGGCCTGCCCGGAGGCCTGGTTCCTCTTACTAGGCAGTTCATCTTTATGGTGTGACCCATTCGGCTTGGGATTTGACCCATGTGTGGACCAAGCTGCATCCCAACTTGCTGGGGCCTCTGATCTTGAGCACGAGTCAGCTGCGACCTCAGAACAAAACAGCTGCGCTGTGCAGAAGTTTTGAGTCGGACGGCCCTTTTAAGTCGCTGAACCCGAGTGACCCCGGTTTTGGAGCCAAAGCATGGTCTTTTCCCATCAAAACAAAGATCAAATGGGTGTCACGGGGTGTCTGTGTCTGTATGTATATACAAGTACGTAAAAATCAAATGAATGTTTGCATGTTGAAGATGGTCACCCTCCTAAACACCATGTGGAACCGCAGGGGTGCACTGTCTGCTTCTACACTCTTCTACAAACCAATGGTTTCAGGGTCCACGTGGTCGTCAACTGCAACAAATTGAGGGAATTTGACATGCATCCTTATCAACCATCGTCTCTTTGTCTTTGACCATGCCTCATGTGGCATTCTGGTTCTACCTGATGCTCCAACCCTCAAAGAGTGGTTGATGAAGAAGCAGCAACAGAATGTCCACTGATCCCTCTGGTTTCCTGGATTCCTCTGGCTTTGGAGACGGTGAGTTGGTGAGCCCCACCCAAGAAAGTGCAACAAACACTCAGTGTTGACACTCAGACTTCCCAATCAACAAGCCTCCTTCCTCTTCCAAGTCCATGGACTTCTAGGGGCATCAGACTGTTGCAGGAACAAAAAGAAGGAACAAAGAAGTTGTTTTGTACTCCTAGGTTTCGCCAGATTTGAGGGTCTTCAGTGGAGAAACCAGTTGACCCTCTTTTAAAAAAAAAATCGCATCCCCAGTCTGTTTCGTTCAGGCTTCAAGCTCCATTGTACGTATTTTACTACGGTTTACTAAATAAAAACACCTGCCAAGATGAACTTCCTCCCAGCAACCAGTCAACGGCAAGGAGCGCTTCGCTTTGCGCTTCGCGTTTCCGCTTCTGTCTCGTCCAAGGAGCGCCAGGCGCACCAGCGACCTGGAACGACATCGCAGCAGCTCCTTCAAACGCTGCTCCCGGGTGCCTCCCCAGGTGCGGCGAGGGAGACCGGGCGTTTGTTGAGGTGTCTCGGCTTCTTCGCCCCTGAAATTGAAGAGACAACAACAAATGGTGCCTCGGCTTCTGCAAATGAATGTCAATGCTTGCAAAGGGACTTAATAAATATAGGTAATACAGTTACAGCGTGCGTGTATATATATATATATATGAGTCAGCGTCAAAAATATATGATTGGAGTGTTTTCGTTTCACTTTTGTCAGTCCCCTATCGTTTTCCATGGTTTTGGGTTTTGCAAGTATGAACATGAGTACCCTATCGTTTTCCATGCTTTTGACCCCCCTCTTGCGAACAGCAGCACACACACACATGCACATGGACCAACCTGCCAGGTCTAGGGTAGGGGTAAAAAACACAGTGACAAGCGGTGCCAGAAGGATTTGCCTCTCACATTGCATGTAAATAAGAACTGGAATCTGCACAGCCTTGGTTAACATGCATTGAGAGCCCCCCAAATCCACAACGCAACTGCTAGCAACAGGATATATCCGATCCAGGAAGCCCAACATGGAGGTGACCCACACCTGCCTCCTCCGAGCTGCACACACATTTTCAGTTCTGAGAAGATGAAGTGCTAGAACTGGAGCTGTCGCTGCCAGATGACGAGTCCGAACTTTCTGAGCCAGGGTTCATTGCAGCCTTTTTTTGCGCTACAGCCCTTTGCGTTTGCTTCTCTGCCCGTTGCTTTCTTTTCTCAATCAAGCAATGGGCATCTGGCACCCCTGTGAAGCGCAAGTTTGCCCCATCTGGAAGTAGGTGGCTCTGGTCGCTCTGCCTCCTGGTCAAGGTAGTCTCCTCGTGAAGACCCAGGGGCCTAACATCATGGTCCCACCGCTCTCGCCCAGTTTCAGACCAAAAGCCTCGGCGGTATGCAGGGGCAGAATCCTTGCTGGGCAGGAGTTCCAAATCACTGGTGAGATTGGTGGCTGCAACCATGTTGGAGAAGACATGGTTGAACACCTTGACGCCCAGCCTGCTGGGACCTTGAGCCACTGGAGCACTGGAAAGACAATATGTTCGAGTAATGTGAAATTTGTTCGCCTGCAGGCGATATCTTTCGTTCGCCGGCTTTTTCTGGGAACCGACATCATTGATGATCACCAACAACGGGGCAGTAGCGTCTGCGCTGCGTGCCGCCTGGTTTTTGTCTGCAAGAAACTTGCACAAGTCGGCAATCTCAACCAGGTCAGTGCCTTGCTTGCGGGCATCTTTCACATTGCGCTCAAAGATGGCAAATAATCTGTCTGCCTCGCTCTTGAAATGTTTTTCCACACCGTAGTGGACACATACTCGAGCTTGGTGCTGCACTGGCAGGACGCAGCAATAGTGGTGCAGTGCTTCGTAGGATCTAAAGTGCGGCCCGGCATCCGAAAGAAGATGAATGGTGTCCACCGGGTTTGTTCCCCTGCGTTGTCTCAGTGCCTGGTCGATGCACTGAGATGCCCGACAAGAGGTGTGATCCAAAATGTCTGATAGGATCAGAACCCGGGTCCACTCCACAGTGCCATCTCTTCTTCTTTCACTTACGACAGATCCAAAAATTGAGATTTCCATCCGCGCGTTTGCGAAGAACTCTTCTCCAGTCTGTGTGCTGCGGACTGGCAATGTGAAGAGTTCTTTGAAGTCTGACAGGACAACCACGGTACCTGCAGGAGGCTCCACCAACAGGTTTGTCAGCACTGGCTTTTGAAACTCATTGGCAGAACGATGGAAGAGGTAGCTGTCCAAGAGTTTTGACATTGCTTCCAGTTGCACACACATGTCCGCCTCCTTTGCGAAAAGGGTTACACGATTGCGCTGCGGGAAGCCGCTGCGCCTGTTCCGCAAGCAGCCCAAGCCACATGGCCAGGAGGTGTGCCTGTGTCGCCGACATGCCTCCTGAGCAGAATGATGCTCCACAAAATGCCGCAGCTGCCGCAAATGCAGGCCTGGCTTCTCAAGCAAAGAGTCATGGCCCTCAAACGCATCCCATTTGGCAAAATAGTTCGGCATGATGGCCGTGAGTTCGGAATGCACAGTGGCAAGCAAATCTTTCACCTGAGGGGCAGGTCTTCCAAATCTGACTACTTTCAGTTAAGCAACAAAAACAAAGCAACACAGAAGGCTTCGTGAGAGAAGTGGCTACTCCAGGCTACTCCATACTCTATATTAGTTACGCAGGCATGCATGGTTTGGGCACGCTGCCTGGGGAAGTACTTTCTTCTTGAGATCGTAGCAATAGATGCAATAGTCATTGATGCTATCCGCTTCTTTGAAATGTCTCAAATGCTTCTTTGCTAGACGCCAGAACGTGGACAAACCCAAGGATGCTCGTATCTCGGAACCTTGCTGCCAGATGCTTTTCTTGTCCTGCATCAAAGTGCTCACGATCTTCCACTCCTGGTCCTGCGGGTCCCACGACAAACGGCTGCTAGGCTGTGAGGCTGCTGACAAAGCTTGCTCCACCATCTCTATGAGCTGTGGGTTGTTCTTCTTGTCAGGTCTTCCTCGCTTCCTGAGAGCGGGCTCTCGGTTCTGCTCTCCGGCACGTTTCCAGCGGATCCGCCCCATGCTAAATGCCGAATTCAGCTGCGCGGGCTTGAGTGCCACAAAATTCACGCACCATCACATCCACATGCTCCCTAACCAAGCGCACTGCATCCGGTGGGTTTGGCGAATCAAACCCGGGGCATTTTGACAGGCTGCGGGAAGCCGCTGCGGGAAGCCGCTGCGGGAAGCCGCTGCGCCTGTTCCAGGGTGTACTGGGAATAACTTCTGGCACAATGTCAATGCTCTCACTGACTTTGCCGGCGTTGCCAACTGCACCGTTTCCGTCTAACATCTCAGTCTCTGCCACTCCACACGCTTCCACGACATCTGCTGCTGGGCCTGCAGGGAACTGCAGGGAAGGGAGGTGGACATGAAGCAAACAGGGGTGCAGGACAGGCTCTATCAATTAGGCAAAGCCTTGAGAAACGTTCAATGCCCTCAAAAAATGCTACAACAGGCTTGCCAAAGCAGAAGCCATGCCTTCATTTTCATGTTCCGCTCGCAGGTCTTGCTTGGCATCAGCTGTCTTGGGCTCATTCATGTCAGATTGTACTGCGTCACCTTCAGTTTCACTTCCGAACGTGCACAGCATGCACATGAAAAGAAAAAGAAGTCAGGTGATGGGTGTCTCTAGGCAGCCAGTATAGCCTCTGGAATGCAAAAAGTAAGGGGTGTCCAACAATAATCTCTGGAATGACACGACAATTCCCTCGGACCTTGCCTGACTGACCAAAGCTAGAAAGCTGCTGATCACCGTTCCCCTGCCCCATCTTCAAAAGGTCTTCTGCTTTGCCCACAGTGTCTGACCCACACGCATTGCCCACAATGCTCTCAGGCTTCGGCGTCACAGCATCCTTCAGTGGAGAAAGCGCTGGACGAAGTCTACATATGGGCCGAGCCAACAGAAAGATGCTCAAAGATAGGAAAACAGAATTGAGCCGAGTTTCCTCTGAAAAGCCATGCTCTTTGGCCTGCTTCTTACTTTTGTATTGCTTGGTCTTGCCCTTCTCATCTGTCTTAATGTAGACCCCTGGGGTCAAAAAGGAGTTTGTTTCATCGGATAGCTGACAGCCATGGTTGCTAAGTCCGTTCTCGGTACTTGTTTAATGATGGCTTTTTCATTGTCTCATGATGGTTCTGTCAAAGCATCCAAAGAATTTCAATGTCTGCAGGCAAGAAGCAGTACTTGCGATCACTGCTGATCAGCTCACGCTGCTCAACCCGCCACATGGCGTGCGTCACCCCCCCCTTTAAGCTCAAAAAAGCTTCGCCACACAATGAACACACATGCTGAAGACGTGTACTAGACTGGCGTTGTTCTGTTAGAGACCGTCATGTATGTATACATAGGGGTATCGTTTTTTATCAGTCCCCTATCGTTTTTCAAGGAAAATCACAAAAGCAACACAGAGATGAAACGTCCCTTACTAAAGTAATTGATGATAATTTTGAGGTTGCCTCATATGCAAATACAAATAGAAAAATGGGTAGATATAGTTGGTAGGTAGATAGATGGTTAGTAAAACCAAATAGACGAAGGATTAAATCAAGTAGACACAACTTGCAGCTCACAGTGCCTTTGGGTGATTTGAGTGAGTGAGTAACGACAGGAATCACACTATCGCACCGAACAGAACCGTATAGACGCCAACGTTTCGATCGGTTTTGGGCCTTTGGGAGCTCTTTGACTGGGTGATCCCGGCCAAAAGACTCAGACGATGAGTTTGTTTCGCAAAAGAAAATACCATGGACCTTCTGTCGGGGTGTCCTGTCTGGAGGTCCCTTAGTAGTGGGCTGGGGCTTCCAGCCAGGTGACGCATTTTTTCAGCACTGGGCCGCTCCTCATTTTGACCGCAGGGATTGCTTCAATCACTCGTCGATGTCGACCACTCGTCACACCCCAAAAAAAGTGTCTGGATGTAGGATCTTGCAGGGTCCCACCTTAGGCATTGCAGCTCCCCGTCTCAAGGATTGGATTTCTATAGTGATGGCTCATGAAAAGCAATGATGTGCTAGTCAGACTCGCGGTCCTCATCTTTCGTTTCCCATATCGTTTTCCATGTCGCTCCGGCCATCCGCGACATGACCGCCTGCATCGGCAATCTCTTGCCGTAGCCTGGTCAGGGACTCACTGAGCTCCTCTGGCCAAGGGCCGGCGGTTTTCGTCGAGTCATTTCGTCGAGGAACTTAGAGTCAGTTGACCCCAAAGACTGATGGGACTGGAAAGTCGGCCATGGAATCGCATAAATTATTTGGAGATAAGGACAGATAAAGGATATAGATGTGGAACAAAAAATCTCTATCCCTAGTTATTCTGTTCCTGGCTCCCTTCCGGTGCATCAACAACCCTGCTTGAAGATGATGTTGAAACCTTCAATCTGTTTCACCGAACGGGAACGGGTCTAACACGCATGCCGAAAACGCCCGGTCAAGCCCCGTTCTACTTCCGGTCCTGGCACTGCAACTGTAGCGACTGCCGCGCGGACGCCTCGTCGGGTCGAAGGCCAAGTGCAGGTGGGTTCGAAGGTTTCAGGGCATCCCATTGGTCGCATCGCCCAGTGGAACCAAGGCGACGCTTCATAAAAATATCGTGGCATTGTTTCGTCGATCCGTCTCGGTTGATGCGTTCATCGCTGATCTCGGGGGATGGGTCCTCCCAGGTTACATGCCTTCATCGACGTCTCGGCTTTTGGTCTAGTCGCCACTCCTGGGAAAGCCGTGGCAACTCCATGCTTCAGCCATTTAAAAAAGAGGTCTCATCTGACAGCCGAGGCTCCGAAAAAGAGGAAATGACATCTGAGCTAGCTCAGCGTTGTTTTTTTCCTGCCCAGAAGAGCCGCTATTTTTCGATGGGAATGGCCAGGCTGCCGTACCATCTAGGGACCTCCGTCGTTTCATCGCCCGAGTCTGCCTCGAAGTCTGGTTCTTCCTCATCGCTTCCGGGCGGCCAGGCCTGCACGACAGATTGGAGAAAAACGAGCGCAAAAGAAAGCAACAAAAGATATATCTTCCCTGGCATTCAAAGACAACTTAAAACATGCTTGACCTGGTTTCGTCATGTTAAATCCGTAAAACCATGGTTGTTTTGGTAAAGGATTGTGGTTCGAATCCTATAGGGTCTTTTTTAGTAATATTCAGTATCTAGATCTGTCGTGTCGCCCTGCTGGAATCCTCGCAGGTGAATGGGGACTGACGGACCCAGTGCACATCGGCGAGTGTGGAGTGTCAAAGTTGCAACCAAACGGGGTGGTGAATGCGCTGTGAGTCATGGCACCTCTTCCACCAAACCACGGAACATGGACATGCCTTATGATGGTATATATCGGTTCCTTTTTTGGTGGTCAACGCGGTGTCCGGGTGCCATGACGGCATATGGACGGCGGGAAAAGTGAGCAGCATGAACGGCTGATGGGACAGCATGAACTCCCACGGGTCAAAAAGCCAGGGTTTGAAGAACCCCCAGGTCTTCAACAAGTTGGCTGCAGAAAGGCTGCGGAATAGGATCACATCAGCCTGTAGCAAATTGTCATGTGAAGAAATCCAATACCTGTTTCGTCCCCGTTAAAATAGAGGCGGAATGGTTGAGGGTGGACAGTCAGGGAGGGTTGGAGCCTTTTTGTAGAAGAAATTTCAACAAGGATCGTGTTTCATCGTGTTTCTATTTGATATGGCAAAAAGTATCGACTCAACCCCCTGCCATCCCCTGCCCATTCCTCGACCCATCTCGACCCCCTCCCTCAACTCCCCTCTGATCTCGGACCTGCCTCTGATCTGGGCCTTGGAGCTGAGTTCGGTGAAGGCGTATCGAGCTAAAAAGAAAAAAAACACCAGTAGCAAATAGCTACTAGTAGCTTCTTGTTACCAGTAGTAATGGCCTCCACCCCACTAGCGATGGCTTCCACCTAGCAGCGTCCTTACTACTCCTATGTAAAAAAAATGTTCAGAGGGTCACTGCTGTGATGTCCCTGAGATGGCTTCCTGCCCACATCCGCAAATCTGACATCTGCAGTTCCGTAAAAGAGGGGGCGTGGGGCGACAAGAAATTGATTTTGTGCAGGTGACCATCTACGCAGATCTTAGGCTCTCCACTCAACTCCGCTGCTTTTCCCTGTACAGTACTCCATGTTCACGGCTGGGGAAGAAACAAGGACAAGATAATAGTACCCAGCTTTGATTCGCTACTTGAAAGCTGCTCAGCCAGCTGTTTCTTCTCCGCCTTTCCATGGGCAGCACCTCTTGTTCAAGCCAGTCAGTCTAAGCCTACCGAAGCCAAGGCAGAGCTCGGTTCTTCCAATGGAAGGAGTAGTTACAGCCCCTTGCTAGCGAGACCCAAACCCCCAAGGCACTTGGGGGAGGGCACTTTTGCGGATGTTAAAGCAAAGTTCCACCACAACCCATGTTGAATACGGCCTCAGATGCGTATTGAATGTGGTCACAGTACGCAGCAAATCAAATCCCCAACCGCACTTTTAGGTGAACACAAAAGAAAGACTGTTGTATTATATAATATATATATATATTGTTGTCACAAAAGACTGTGTGTTTGACCTTTCTGCTTTTGTTTGACGTCCCCTGAGTTCGTCACTTGATGTGAGCCCTCTGAGTTCGTTCTTTTTCGTTTTGTCCAACGAATCAGAGGAGTCTTCGTTTTCGCCCTCGGGGCCTCGCGCAGAAAAACGTGGACATCTGCAACAATGGCATTACTACATAGTAGTAAATAGCTACGACAAATGCTACTAGATAGTAGCTTCTTGCTACTACGTAGTAATGCCATTGTTCCGTTCGTAGCGATGCCCTTGTTCCTAGTAGCTTGGTGTGAAAAGAAACAAAAACCTGCCGACTGCATTCATTCTTCCGCAGCAATGAGTCTCAATGGAGACTTGCCGGCATTAAAAAAACCTAAAGTTCTGGGCCAACGCGGGAGTGCACACCCTGAGCAGAGACCCAGCCACCGTCATCTGACCTCACCCAGTGACCAGCCCGAACAGGGGGCAAAACCCAATGGCCTCCCCTACTGGCAT